GAGGGTTAGGAGCAGCGGCGGCTGCGGCGGGGGGCGGCATGGGGCACCTGCGGTCGGAGGTGGGCGGCGGACGTCCCGGGGGCAGGGCGCGGAGGCGAGGGCGGAGGGCCCGGCCCGCGCAGGGGTCCTTCTTGTCCTCGGGCTTGTGGTCCTGGGACAGCGCGATGGCCTCCAGCTGTCTCCGTTGCGTGTTCGTCGGTGTGTTCGTCGTTTCGTGTTCGATCGGGCGTCTCTGTTTCGTGCTCGTCGTTCCGTGTCTCTAGCAACATGCGTGGTGCTATTTCCGTGGTGCAGTCTGTGCGGCGCACCCGTGCGGTGTAAGCTGTGTGCTGCTGTATCGGTGGTGCAATCTAGGTGGCGTGATCCATGTGGAGCAATCCGCCAGCCCCCTTGTGGGGCCACCAGGCTGTAGGGAGAAGGTTCACAGGTTCTTGTACCAGTTGCAGCTTCCAGTTTCCACTGTTACAGTTCTGCTTCTTTGCAGCTTCCAGTTTCCAGTGTTACAATTCTGCTTCTTGCTGCTTACTGGTCCTTCTTGATGGACCGCGAGAGGGGGGGGGCCCAAAACAGGCATTTTTACCACGCCCTGAGCGTGTGCTCTGAATTGCTGGGGTGCGTAAAAATTGACACCCCTCACGCAGATCGGCAGGGTCAGGGTACAAAAATACATGAAATTTGCCACATTCCTGAAATCTGGTGGCACCCCTCACGCAGATCGGCGGGGTCAGGGTCCCAAAGAACAGAAGATTTGCCACATTTCTAACATTCGGCGGCACCCCTCACGCAGATCGGCAAGGTCAGGGTCTAAAAACATAAGGGTTTTGTCACATGTTTGACATCCGGTGGCACCCCTCACGCAGATCGGCGGGGTCAGGGTCCAAAAACACAACGGATTTGCCATATTTCTGAAATTCGGCGGCACCCCTCACGCAGATCGGTGGGGTCAGGGTCCAAAAAACACATGGGATCCTCCACATTTCTGAAATTCGGTGGCACCCCTCACGCAGATCGGCGGGGTCAAGGTCCAAAAACACAGCGGATTTGCCACATTTCTGAAATCCAGGAACACCCCTCATGCAGATCGGCGGGGTCAGGGTCCAAAAACACATGGGATTTGGCACATTTCTGAAATTCGGTGGCACCCCTCACGCAGATCCGCAGGGTCAGGGTCCAAAAAACATAAGGGATTTGTAGCATGTCTGAAATCCGGTGGCACCCCTCACGCAGATCGGCAGGGTCAGGGTCCAAAAACACAAAGGATTCGCCACATTTCTGAAATTCGGCGGCACCCCTCGCACAGATCGGCGGGGTCAGGGTCCAAAAACACATGGGATTCTCCACATTTCTGAGATCCGGCGGCACCCCTCACGCAGATCCGTAGGGTCAGGGTCGAAAAACAAACAGGTCCCGACACTGCTTCACGGCGGCGCCCAAACCTCATGATTTAGCTTTTGCATCTCCCATTATCCGAGACAGGGGGCTGGCGGAATGGGGCGAAGCCCTTACGGATAATATATATATATATATACGGTACGACCAATGTGGTACAACATGTGTGGTGCAAGGTATGGTGTGCAACCTATGGCGTGCAATCATTGCGGTGAACGTATTGTTGTGCTCTGAGCTTCAGGGGCGTGAGCGCCCCCATCGTTTTTCACGTTTTCTCGCACGCCCTTTCTTCCTCCTCCTACCCCCTCTTCATAATCGTCCTCCTCTTCCTTCTCCCTCCCTCTCTCTCTCTCTCTTTCTCTCCCCTCTCCTCCTCATCCTCCACAACTTCCGTTTCGCTCCTCTGTTCCCGTCACCTTCTCCACTTCCTTGCCCGTCCTCTTCCTCCTCCTCCTCCTCCTCCTCCTCCTCGTCCTCCTCCTCGTCCTCTTCCTCCTCCTCCTCCCTCCTCCAATTCCTCCTCCTCCTCCATCTGCTCCTCCATCTTCTCCTCCTCATCGTCTTCCACCTCCTCCGTCTCTGCATCCTTCTGCGGGGAGCCACGGACACTGCTTTGTTTGCGAAGTACAAGAACAAGGAACACATAAGAAACACAACAAAGGCACATGCTAAAGATACCGCCATGCGGCTACTTTAAGCAAGCCATTGGCACAACAAACAAAACGGAACAACACATGTGCCAGGGACAGCTTCCGAAGGAACACGTGGCGAAGCAGTGGATGGGGAAACTCATTATGTGTGGGTTCGTTTGTGCTCTTGTCCAGTGCTCTAGAGTTTCTCCACTAGTGCTCTAGAGTTCCAGCCTCCAGCGCGTCAGGTTCTTCAGGTGCGTGTGTTATTCCTTGTCTGTGTTCTGGTTCCCCACCGCCAGTACCAGGATTCATGCACTTCGCCCACAAAGCGGACTCGGTGCCCACATACGGATGCAGAGACGGAGGGAGACGAGGAGGAGGAAGAAGAGGAGGAGGAGGAGGAGGGAAGAGGGAGGAAGAGGAATCATGTGATGAGGGAGGAAACTAGGTGATGAAGAGTAGGAGAGAGGAGGGAGGGAAATGGAGAAGAGAGAGGATACGGAGGAGCGAAACTGATGTGAAGGACGGAAAGGAGGAAAACGGAGCAGGCGATGGAAGAGAGAGAGAGAGAGAGGAAGAGGAGAAAGCAGAGCTGGGAACAGAAGTGGGGCACCAAGGGCATTTCCAATTCCTCCTCCTCCTCGTGAACAGCTTCCGCAACTCCTTCTTCTTCCTCGTCTCTCCCTTCCCTGATCCCTCCTCCTCCCTCTCCTCCTCCTCCTCCTCCTCCTCCTCCTCCTCCTCCTCCTCCTCCTCCTTGGTATCTGCATCCTTCTGCGGGGGGGGGGGGGGGCACCGATGCCGATTTGTGGGCGGGTTACAAAGGCATTGCTTGTGCTGGCGGTGGGAAACAAGAGAAACACAAGCAACACAAACACAAACAACGACGCTGAAGTCCTGGATGTCCAACCGTTCGGACACCATTTTGAACAACCGCACAACGATCCCACTGAGAAGGCGCCCCCCCCGTCCCCGCACCCCGTCGGGCGGTTCCCCTCGAACGGTTCTCCCTAGACGCGTTGGTGGTTGCGTTCTTTCTTTTTTGTCGCCCCCAGCGGTTTCTTAAGCTTCAGCCGCAACCACCTCATGTTCTTCAGTTTGGTTGTGCTACTCCTGGTGTTCTGTTGCTGGCTGCCCGCCGCCAACAGAAAGACTGTACACTTCGCCCGCAAAAACGGAACTGGTGCCCCCCCCCCTCCCGCAGGAGGAGGCAGAGACGGAGAAGGAGGAGGAGCAGCAGCAGAGGAAGCAGGAGGAGGAGGGGGAGGAGGGGGAGAGGAGACGAAATACTGTGATGGGAGGAGTGGGGTGAGGAGGACGAGGGGGCGAGGAGTGGATACAGGAAGGGAACACGAACGAAACGGAGGTGGAGGAGGAGGGGGGGAGGGGGAGAGAGAAAGAGAGAGAGGGGGGAATAAAGAGAGAGAGAGGGAGGACGAGGAGGACGATAATGGAGAGGAGTGCCAGGAGGAGGGAAACAGTGCGTGCCAGACAACCGCAGAACGCTGGGGGCAGCTCTGATTGATTTGAGCGGTGCGGCCCTTGGTGTAACATATACGTGGTGCAAATTACGCGTCGCAATCTAAGTGGTACAACCTACGTGGCGCCATCGGTGCGGTGCAACGATGTAAACCAATATATATATATATATATATATACATACATATATATACACACATACATATACATCGATTTATACATACATATACAATATATATACATATATGTGTGTGCGTGTGCACTCGCAGAGATATGACGCGGCATTTGTGGTGCAACCTGCTTGGTGCAATCCTTGGTGCGCAATATATGATGTGCAGTGTGTCATGTAAAACCAGCGTGATGCAAGTGCATTCTCTGTTGTGCAATCAATTATGTGCAACCGACATTCTGCAACCGATGGTGTGCGATCTTGTGGGTGTAATCTATGTTGTGTGAATCTACATTGTGTAACCTTTGTGGTGCGACGTAGAATAGAAGATGCAATCGATGTGGGGCCATCCATGGTGTGCTGAGTGTGTCAACACAAATGTGTGGTAGCTGTGATGAAACCTGTGTGGTGCAACTGATGTGGTGCAACATGTGTGGCACTGCCAAACCCATCTAGCGGCGATTGCGGTGACTGCTCGGCGATGGCTGGCGCGTCGCTGCGGCCGCGCTAGCGCGCGCAGTCTCACACGCAGAGCGGCCAGCGAGTCTGGCGAGATCGACGCGGCCACGGTGACGCTGACCGCTGAGAGCGTCCCAGCGCGTCTCAGAGGCCGCGCTGACGCGCGGGTACTTCAGTGTGAGTCCGTGGCTCGGGTGGGCGCGTTATCATCGCGACGTCGGCAATGGCAGCCACGATGCTGATAGTAGCGATGCTGGTGACGATGATGACAATGACGACGACCAGGCAAATGCCGACGCCGATGCTGATCACGCCGATGACGATGATGGTATCCTCGCGTCGGCAATGAAGGTTTGAAGGTTGTGACAAGGATTTCGACATGCGCGCGCGGCCGACGCGCGCGAGTGGCCCGCATGGAATTCTGTGACAGGGGTCGCCCCCTCCCCCCCCAGCACGCGCGCAAGGGCGCTCGAACGATTTTGACGCGCCGTTTCGTCGCATGTGGTGGAAATGTTGGGAAATCGTCGCAGCTGTATTAAAACATCGCCAGAGCGCGAGCGCAGGCTTTTTGGAACATCCCTGTTGCGAAACCATTCTAGTTGCAGACAAGACCCGCGCCTTCTAAGAAGCAGTGATGCCTCCAAGAAGCCTTCCCCTCTCCCCCTGCCCCTCTGCGCGTGGCCGACACCCCCCACGCGTCCCCGACTTTGACGGGGTGTCCGCGGGGCGTGGCGGTGGCATCGCCCGGCGGACGTCCTGGTCGCACTGCAAAGATGGGAGCGACGCCACGCGCGGGGAGAGAGAAAGGGGTAGATGGTCAACGTTTTCTTGTTCGGCGTTTCTACAGTGGGCGAAGAGGAGTGGAGGGCGGGGTCTGGCTCTGGACCTCTGCTTACTGCCACTGCTTGCAGCAGTGCGGCCTCCAGAGGAAACTCCACCCTCTTGAAACAGGCGCCAAAAAGCAGCCAAGATCGGAGGAGGAGGAGGAGGAGGAGGAGGAGGAGGAGGAGGAGGAGGGAGGAGGAGCGGGGCGTTGGTGGCCCGCGCCGATCGGCAAAGTAATGAACTAAGAAAACGATCACACGGGGCAGAGGGGCGGCGGGAGAGGTGGATCTCGGCCGGGCCGGCCGCATCCCCGGACCCCCCTCGCGCGGTGACAAAAACTCGCGACGGGAGGCTTTGCGCCATTTTCGGCCTGCAGGGGCCCTCGTTGGGCCTCGGGACCGTCCAAGAACGACTCGGGATGAAGAACCAACCGGTCCCCGGGAAGGGGTCCAGACCTCGGGGGGCCACGTCATGAAAAAAACACGACGTCGGGGCTCCGGGTCCTCCCGCCAAGGCCCCTTCGCAGCCGGTCCCCAGAGCAATCTCAGGCACCGTCCTGGCAGCATCCAGCGATGGCGACGAACGTGTCCCCGACGGCCAGCACGGCGCCCGTCTGCGGGAAATCACGTGCGCGAGCGAGCAGAAGCACGTCCTGTCGTATTTCCTTCCCCGCTCTCCTGTGGGTCATGTCCCGGTCTTCTCGGGGAGGGCGCCACATTTGTCTTCCCGCGGGCCTTCCCATTGCGGATGAGGATGGCGCGGGAATCCCCGATGTTAGCCACCACCACCTGGCGGGACAAAGAAGAGGAGGAGGAGGAGGAGGAGCAGGAGGACGACGACGACTACGACGACGAAGAGAAGAGACAGGAGGCGGATGAGTAAACGCAGCACGGGAAAAGGTGGGGATGAGGATGAGAGGGAGACGGAGAAACATAGTACGGAGAAGTGGAGGGTGACCCGCGCTACGCCAGGGACGGCTCAGAGTCTCAATGAAGCTGCTGCCCGTATCTGGTCTCAGCATTGGTGGGTGTAGTGGTGGCGGGCGGTAGGCGGGGGGTGAGGCTGGGGCAGTTTCTGCGAGGGTAGCCTGTGAAGGGGGAAGGAGGCAAGGCGTGGCTTCGTCGAAACGGAACACTAGGGTACATCTGGGCGGAGAGAAGATGGTGGGAAGATTTCTGCGGAAATGGTTACGCATATCTGACGAGCCTGCAGCTATAGCGATGGGTCAGGCGCGTTGCATCCTGCGCGCAGCCAGTGTGACGCACACAGAACTCGTCAGCCCGAATTGGCGCCTGCCGTCGTCCTCCTCCTGCAATTCGTGCAGTGTAGAGCCCAGGTGCAGTCAACCCGTACAATAAGGATGCACGGCAAGGCTGTAATGGCCTTGGAGGGCCACGTTAACGTTTTTCGAACGAGGTTGACCAGCGAAAATCGCTAAGGATGGGCCGAAGGGGCAAGGATGCAAGGGTAGCCTTGGAAAGCCGCTCATCCCTACTATGCGGGCTGACTGTAGGGCGACATAGCCGAGGCCACCACCTCGTCAAGGGCCTGCCACCCAACAGCTGAGCATTCGCCGCTGAGCCCAGAAGTCCAATAATTACTGCAAACGCCGGTATCGAAATCCCCACCGCCGAAGTCGTCTTCTCAGGCAGGCTGCCTCCAGCACAGCTTCTCCAATCCACTCTCGTCAGTTGCGCGCTTGCGTGACGCGCACCTCCGCGTCAATCGACGCGATGGCTGACGGCGCTGCAGAAGGGGCCTCGCGCAACCATGTCCGCAGCCCAGCAAGCGGGTGGTAAGGAAACGGAGGAGCCCACTAGGCTAAGCCCAGTGGACAAGGACGACGCTGGACCTTCCTCATTAATTATCGATGGGGAGGAAAAAAGGGAGCTGAGGGTGACCAGAAACTCCTTGCTCCTGGTTCGCCGCGGCCAAGGCTTGGCGACGACCGGGGCGAACAGGACAACCGCCGGGCGCGCACCAGCAAGGACGGGGACGGACGTGTCGCGCAGCGCGCAGCTGCAACTAATCTCCAACGTATAGCCGCTCGAGCCTCGAGCCGTCGCTCAGGCAACCGGCTCCTGGATCTCGCGCTGGGCCACCCAGTCAAGCGCTTGGCAGCACACACCGATAAACAGCGACCTCAGAGAAGCTCCGTGCGGGTGAATGCCAAGCGTAACTGGGAACGCGCACGCTCAGCAGTGCACACAGAGGCCCTCCCCATGCCCCCGACATGCTGGACGCCGATGGTGCCACTGCCGCGGCAGGACGCGCACCTGCTCCTCGAGCGCCGCTGTCTGGTCCTCTCTGGCCCACGCCGTCAAGCGGGCCTCCCTGCCAGAACGGCCGTGCGGCAGGGGAAGAGGAGGAGGAGGAGGAGGAGGAGGAGGAGGAGGAGGAGGAGGAGGAGGAGGAGGAGGAGGGATGGGGAGGAGGAGGAGGAGGAGGAGGGGGAGGAGGAGGAGGAGGAGGAGGAGGAGGAGGAGGAGGAGGAGGAGAGGAGGAGGAGGAGGAGGAGGAGGATAGAAGGAGGAGGAGGAGGAGAAGGAGGGCGAGGAGGATAGAAGGAGGAGGAGGACGAGGACGAGGAGGAGGAGGAGGAGGAGGATAGGAGGGGGAGGAGGAATAGGAGGAGGCAGGAGCAGGCGTAGGAGGAGGACGAGGAGGAGGAGGTAGGAGGAGGAGGAGGAGGAGGACGACGATGAGCAGCACGAGGATGATGATGCTGTCGATAATGATGATGCTGATGATGACGACGATGCTGCTGCTGATGATGATGCTGATGCCGCTGATGCTGATGATGACGATGATGATGATGATGAGGAGGATGATGATGTTGATGATGATGATGCTGATGATGATAGTGGTGATGATGCTGATGGTGGTGATGATTAGTATGCTGATGATGCTGGTGCTCATGCTCATGTTGATGCTGCTGATGATGCTGCTGATGCTGATGCTGATGCTGATGCTGATGCTGATGATGATGATGATGATGAGGAGGAGGAGGAGGAGGAGGAGGAGGAGGAGGGAGGAGGAGGGAGTAGAGGAGGAGGAGGGGTGGATGAGGCGACGGAGGCTGAGGGAAGGAGGGAGGAGGATGGAGGAGGAAGGAGGAGAGGGGAGGAGGAGAAGGAGAAGGAGGAGAGTAGAGGAGGAGGAGGAGGAGAGGAGGAGGAGGAGGAGAGAGGAGGAGGAGAGGAGGAGGAGGAGGAGAGGAGGAGGAGAAGGAGAAGGTCGGAGGAGGAGGAGGACGGGAGGAGGGAGGAGTCGAGGAGGGAGGAGGAGGAGGATGAGGAGAGGAGGAGGAGAAGGAGGAGGAGGAGGAGGAGGACGAGGAGGTAGGAGGGGAGGAATAGGGAGGAAGAAGAGGAGGGGGAGGAGGCAGTAGGAGGAGGAGGAGGAGGAGGAGGAGGAGGGGGAGGAGGAGGAGGAGGAGGACGAAAATAATTGAAGGAGGAGGAGGAGGACGCGAGAGGATAGAAGGAGGGGGTAGGAGGAGAGGAGGAGGAGGAGGAGGAGGAGGGGAGGAGGAGGAGGAGAGGGGAAGGAGAGGAGGAGGAGGGAGGAAGAGGAGGAGAGAGGAGGAGGAGGAGGAGGAGGAGGAGGAGGAGAAGGATGAGGAGGGAGGTATGGAGAAGGAAAGGAGGAGGATGAGGACGGAGGAGGCGGAGGAATTAGAGGACGAGGAAAAGCCATGAGAGATGACAGAAGGAGAAGGAGGAGGAGGAAGACGAGGAGGATAGAAGGATGAGGAGGAGGACGAGGAGGATAGAAGGAGGACGAGGAGGAGGACAGAAGGAGGAGGACGAGGAAAACGAAGAGGATGAGGAGGGGGAGGAGAAGGAGGAGGAGGAGGAGGAGGGAGGAGCACGAGGAGGAGAGCGAGGAGAAAGAGGGGATGATAGGAGTGGAGAGGAGAGGAGGAGGAGAGGGGAAGACCATGGGGGGGGGGGGAAGGATAGAAGAGGAGGGAGGATCGCAGATATCAGAGTCAGCAGGATAATGATACATGTTGGACAACGGAGGCAATAGGACAGGAAGAGTGGAAGGAAGGGTGAGGGGAGGAAGGAGGAGGAGGAAGGAGGAGGAGGAGAATGAAGGGAGGAAGGAGGAGGGCGATGAGGAGGAGGAGAAGGAGGAGGAAGTGGAGGAGGAGGCGGAGGAAGGAGGCAGAGGAGGAGGAGGAGAAGGCGGAGGAGGAGGAGGAAGGAGGGAGGAGGAGGAGAAGGAGGAAGAGGGAGTAGGAGGAGGAGGAGGAGGAGTAGGAGGAGGAGGAGGAGGGGGAGGAGGAGGAGAAGGCGGAGGAGGAGAAGGCGGAGGAGGAAGAGGAGGAGGAGGAGGAGGAAGAGGGAGGAGTACGAGGAGGGAGGAGGAAGGAGGAGGAGGAGGAGGAGGAGGCCATGACGCACTGGTGGCTGCGGCAAATGTGTATCGGCCCCGACTGACTGCGTCGAGCGGGACTCCGTCACGAGCAAGGATAAAGACTTCCACATTTGCACCCGGGGGGAATTGTGCGTCTGTTCTGGACACGGCGGACAGCAGCAGGGGCCATCACCAGAGTCTGGCGGACTGGAGCAGGTAAAATGCCGAGGCACAACGCTGTGGGCAAGGCGGGACCGCCATGGATCGACATCCACGGACGCGCTGGCTCAACCGCCATGGATCGACATCTGCGAGGCCTGATTCATGATTCGGCCTGGTCGCGATGTTTGCCCCACTGCCGCGCCGGCGGGGATCACAATGAACTCCGACGCCGCGGCGAGAACACCGAGCACCGCGCGCGTTGGAGAGGGGGGAAGCCCAGCGCCTGAGCGAGACATGGCCGCACCGCGTCTGCAGCTGGATGTCCGCCTGCCCATGACAGGGAGTTTGCTCACACCAGTGGGGTGCCCACTGGAGCCAGTGTGCCGACGACTGAGGAGGCGAAAGAGATGAAGGACCTATGAGGAGCGGGCCGAGGAGAGGGACAATGACAGCCAGACCAGTAGTCAGCAGCAAGGAAAGGAACAGAGGATTACGAGGAGGGTGCGGCTGAGGACGAGGAGCGGAGGCGGAGGAGGTGAGAGGAAGTCGGCGCAGCGGGTGAGAAGTGGAAGGGCGGAAAGGGGGGAAGGGGGGAATGAGTGAGGAGGGGAGGAGCCGGGCAGAGGGAGGGAGAGAGAGAGGCAGAAGGAAGGAGATGTAATACCAAAAACTAGATGTGAGTGAAACGGGTCCTAGACCCCCTGAGTCGTCTGTTGACGGCCGTGGGGCCTGGGGAGAGCTGCGGGAGTCCGAAAATGACGAAGAGACCAAGACCTCATGAGCCCCGTCCCCCAGGCCCCCTTAACTTTGGGGCTTTGACCCAAGGCGGCTGGGTCTGAGGACCCCTCCTGGGTCCATCCAGGCCGCTCCCCCGAGCTGAGTCCAGCTGTGGCGACGAGAGCCTTCGAGAACGTCCGAAGACCTCAGAAACGACACAGTCGGCGTCGACGATGGTCGCAGAGTCCTGCAGAGACCCCTTTCTCCCCAGGGGCTACATCTTCTTACGCGCGCCGAAGATAGGCGTTGTTTAATGGGGGGTCGATCGACAAAGGAGGCGAAGAAACGTGCATCTCTCGTGTACCTTAACCGCGAAGGGTCGTTCGAACGCCCCCCACCCAACAGGGGGTAACTAATCATTTCCGGCGGCCTTATTGAAGGACTGGGGTCCCACCAACAGGGGGTAACTAGTTGTTGTGTTCCGCGGCACCTGCGGGACACAAGAATTCGTGAGGAGGAGAAGCAGCAGCAGCAGCAGGAGGAGACGAGCGTAGAAGAAGCAAGAGGAGGAGGAGGAGGAGGAGGAGGAGGAGGAGGAGGAGGAGGAGGAGGAGGGAGGAGAAGGAGGAGGAGGATGTTTTCCCCTCAAAACCTCCTCCTCCTCCTTCTGGAGAGAAGCAGGAGGAGGAGGAGGAGGAGGAGGAGGAGGAGGAGGAGGAGGAGGAGGAGATGGAGGAGGAGGAGGTGGAGGAGGAGGATGAGGAAGGGCGGTGACCGGTGCCCGCACGAGCGTCCACGCGAGGGGACCAAGCGGGGTGGGGCAAGAGCGCCCACAGGCACGCACTGAATGAACAACAGGATGAAGACACGACTGGCCAGCGTGTACTGTCAACCCGCATAGTAAGGATGCGCGATAAGGATGCAGGCGGTTGGACGCCCATTTCGAAGCTTTTCGGGCGGGGCGCGACCAGCGAAAGTGGCCAAGGATGGGCCGAGGAGGCAAGGATGCATGGGTACTCTTGGGATGGTTGCCCATCCTTACTCTGCGGGTTGACTGTACGTGTTCTCGCCAGCTCACTCCAAGTTGGTGTCCAGGCCAAGTCGGCCCAGGCATCAACGGCAGCAGCAGGGCCCAATCATGTCTGCCCATGCCGACGCACAGCGTCGACCCATCGTCTGTTTATGTCTTGCTTGTCTGCGAGCTGGTTGTTAGGCTTCTGCGCGTAGGTCGGGCTTCAAAAAGAAGGAGGAGGAGGAGAACAAGGAGGGGGAGGAGAAAAAGGAAGAGAAGGAGGAGTGAGGAGTGAGGAGTGAGGAGGAGCGGTGCGCTGTGAGGAGGAGCGATGCGGAGTGAGAAGCGACGAAGAGGAGGAGGAGGACGAGGAGGAGGAGGAGGGCGAGGACCAGTCCTATTCACCGCCGAGCGAAAGGGGGGGGCCAGAACAAGAGACCCTCAGGGGTCCACAAGGAAGGCGAAGGCAAGAGCAACCCAGCGCGAACCTGTCGTCGTCGTCGGCGTTTTCGTCGTCGGCGTTTTCGTCGTCGTAGTCGTCGTCGTCGTCGGCGGCGTCGTCGTCGGTATTTTCGTCGTCGTCGTCGGCGTTGTCGTTCGTCGTCGTCGGCGGCGTCGTCGGCGTCGCCGCCGGCGCGACCATTGCCGGCGCCTCCGCCGCCGCAGTCGTCGTCGTCGTCGTCGGCGACGGCGGGCGGAACCTGTGTTGGCGTTGCCGCCTTCATGGCACCCCTCTCGCTCTCAGGACTCCCGTCGTCGCGCCGAGGAGCAGACGGCAGTGTGGGGGGCCCGCCCAACTCGCCAGGGCGCGAGGGGGCCTCTCCAGGGCCCGCCCGCGCGCGCACAGCGTGGTCGTCTTCGTCGTCGTGGTCGTGGCGGTCGTCGCGGTCGTGGTCGCCGTCGTCGTCGTGGTCGTCGCCGTCGTGGTCGTCGTCGTGGTCGCCGTCGTCGTGGTCGTCGTAGTCGTCGTGGTCGTCGTGGTCGCCGTCGTCGTGGTCGTCGTCGTCGTCGTCGTCGTCGTCGTCCCAGGTCGCCGTTGAAGTCGTGGTCGCCAGCGGCGGCGCCGTCGTCGCCGTCGCCGCCGTGGTCGTCGCTTTCGTCGGCGTCTGCGCCCGCTCCAAGGCGGAACGTGCTGGCCTCGGGCCTTGGCAGCCAGGGGGGGGCGGGGGAAGTACGCCGATCGCGGGGGCAGCGCGCGCGCTCGGCCGCCTCGCGCCTGACGAGGTCGACAGCCGCCACGCAGGCGGTGGAGCCACAGCCCGCGAAGGGGTGCAGCGACAGCGGCAGCACCCTGGCCAGGACAGGGGGAGGAGGAGGAGGAGGAGGAGGAGGAGGAGGAGGAGGAGGAGGAGGAGGAGGAGGAGGAGGAGGAGGAGGAGAAGGAGGAGGAGGAGGAGGAGGAGGAGGAGCAGGAGGACCAGAGAAAACCCAAGATGCATCAACGATGCTGCAATACAACCTTCCGTCCCAAGTTTCCTCCTCATAAGTCTCTGAGGCCTCCTTGCTCACTACAAGGAGCGTCCCCTCGAACAACCAACACGCCTTCGACCTACCACTCAGGCGACAAAGCGCCGTCTGGAAAGATACTGCTTTGCATTATTCTAGAGCGTAGTCGGGAATGCGGAACTGGACTCACCATACAGCTCAACGACGTGCCCAGGGATACCAAGCTTCTTGAAAGGTCCACGACCGAATTGTTGCACAAGCTTGCAGTGTTGGTCATGAATCCCGAGGAAGTGTCTGGCGAGACCCCACATTCTTAAGCTCCTACATATGTTAAAACTGGTGGTACTTACACTCAAATCAACAGCGGAAGCCCCATTCGGAAAATGAGCCGTCCCCTAGCCCCTAGCCAAGAATGTGTTACTTTGTTTGAAGAGGAAGGGGAGCGCAATCACATGACTTGACGCGAATCGGCCTCGACCGCTGTGCAATTCAAACAGTCGCCAAACAAACCAAGAATCCCACAAAGACCGACCTGCGACAAGCAAACTCATACAATGAATCGTGAACCTAAGAGAGAAAACGAACGTGCTACATGCGAAGATTCCCTGAGGCCCAAACGGACAACGATACTACATTCACACACCACACACAACGACAGGAGGCGAGGGGAATGGGGAGGGAGGAGATGAAGGAAGAGGAGGCGACAGAGGCAAGAAGCCAGCGGACAAGTGTAAACTCAAACCCGCGCGTGCGTAGGACCCGTCTCGGCAGCCCGTGCCGGAGAAGCTACACGCACAGAGGGCCCACACGAGCACAACGCGGATGAGCTGGAGCAGAGCCTCACGCCTGGGCAGAAGGGGCAACGCGAAGTGTGCGATCGTACGATACTGCGGGCAAGTTGAGGCCACACATCTCCTCAAATCGAGTTGACTAGGGAGGGGGAAGGAACTTAAATGAGAAGAGGGGAGGAGGAAGGACGACGATGTAGCTGCTGGAAAAAAACTGTTAAGACGAATGTGCGTCGGACGAGAGCCCCAATACGAAAACGACCTGCGCTCTATCCCCGTAAACGCTGCCAGTTGTTGAGACGAATGTGCGCGGCGCGAACGCGAGAGCTCCACTTTGAAAATGCCCCCTGCATCCGCGTAGTTGTTGCAATTCTCGAACTTCATGCTCAGAAGTGGTTGCGGAATCTCAGGCGAAAGGCCTGTCCCGCCCTACCATCAAGTCTGAGGGGCGACAGAGAGGAGATGTCTATAGTTAAGGAAGGGGGATGCAGGCAGGAGCACAGCGTAGAGGACAGGAATGGAGGGAGGAGGAGGAGAGGAGGCGAAGAAGAAGGAGGGGAGGAGGAAGAGGAGGAGGGGGGAAGGGGTACGAAGGGATGACACATGGGAGAAACGGAGGAGAGAAAAAGGAGGGAGGAGAAAAGATGAGAAGGACATTCCCCTGGGGACAGGAGGAGGAGGAGGAGGAGGAGGAGGAGGAGGAGGAGGAGGAGGAGAGGGAGGAAGACGTGCAGGAAGAAAACCAGGAGAAGGATAATCACAAATGACAGTAGGAGGCGGGTTTGGATTGCCACCAAGGAGAAAGCGTATATGAGGAGGAGGAGGAGGAGAAGGAGGAGGAGGGAGGAGGGAGGGCCGTCCCCCGCGTCTGCCGGCGACCGGGCGTTTGCCTGCCCAGGAGAGGACATCGACGACTGACCTGCACCATCGGCAAGGTTCCCGAGTGCCCCCGCGGGAGCCTCCCCGCGGGAGCTCTTCCGCGGAGCCTGCAAGCCCAGAAGGATGGGAGAACAAGAAGCCCAGACCCCCTCGGGTAGTGAACAGAAATCATGACGGGAGGTGTTTCCTGGTATTCGGCCTCTAGAGGCCCTTGCGGGCCCTCGGAACCTCCAACAAAACTATTCAGGATGAAAAACCGGTCCAGGGGAATGGGTCGAGACCTGTGAGGGTCGATGTTGTGAAACAAAATCATGACGTCGGGAGTCTGGGAACCCACACTCAAACCAATAGGGAGGAAGAGGAAGAAAGGGAAAAGGGGGCAAGGAAACGACGGCGCTGTAGGCATCGGCGCAAGATGTCGGACCCCGAAGGGGGCTCCCGTTCGAGCAGAGATCCCCATAGCCCCCCCTGGAATTCCACCCCAAGAGACCTGGGGGTCGCATAGATATGGGTGCTGGCTGCCAGCTCCTGGAAGAAGCCGCCAGATTCGGGGAGACGTACGACTCGGGTACGGGGGACTCGGGTTGGCCTGACGGGGCCATCATGAAAATGACGAGACCCAATCTGAAATTTGACGCGAGCTCCCGCGGCAAACATCCCACGAAACAGGACGGGAAAACAGCGAGGTATCACCAGGTCGATGCCTAGGCATCGGCTGCGCCAAGCTACGTCCAGCTACGTCCATGGACGCATCCCTCAATGCATGCGTAGGCATACCCATGCGGATGCCTGGGCATCCGGGGCATCGACACGGCCATGCCTAGGCATGCTACGACGATGCGTCGGCATCCAGGCTGGGGGGGTCCAAGGTGATGGCTGGCAGCAGAGCGGGCGTGCCGACCCAAAGGATGCCCCCCCCACCGCCCCGTCGTCCTCGGCTCCCCGCGTGGACCCCCGCCGGCCCCGCCTCGCCCGTGCCCACGGAGGTACGCAGGCTACGCAGGCGAGGCGGCAGCCTGCCACAGGGCTCCCAGACCCCCGACGCCGTGATCTGCTCTGCAACGTCGACCCCCGGAGCCCAGACCCCTTCGGGCCATGCACAAGACATGACGGGAGGTTTTCCATCATCTTCGGCCTCTGGAGGCCCTGGCTGGCCCTTGGGACCGTCAACGAAACGGCTCGGGATGGAAACCAGGTCCAGAAGGCCGCGACATGCTCGATTCATTCTCTAGGATCGGCCTCGCACTCTCGCGCCCCCTCAGCTGCACATTCCGCGCAGCCCCTCCGCCATGGTGCCTGCTCACGGCCGCGCGCTCCGCGTGCGCCGCAGGTGAGAGGCGCAGCTTGCACACCATGGAGGGAGACCCACGACAGCGACGAGCGGGACGTGCACGTCCAGCAGATGACGCCGCACGACACCGACCAGCGTACCCTCATCCCCGCCTTCCACGGCGGCGAGACTGCTAAGTTTGTCGGCTGGAACCCGTTCCCATTAATAACTTTTCCAGGCCGCATGGAGGCCATTAGCTACGAGTTTCGACAGCAGTATAGATTACTATTTCCTGGCACACACGTGCGGCTAAATTCAATCTCAGTCATCACCGAGAAGATACTGCTCATCATTTTTGGGTTCACTGGGGATGGAGACGCAACCCCCACACTACTTCAGCATGTGGCTGCACCGTGGCCATCAATAAACATCGAGTTCGACCTGAGCACCTCGCGCGCGTCGCGTCCCCACCATCCCCAGTACAGGGCCAAGGAGGCTCAGTAGATATCGTTCGCGGACACTTTCGAGTACGACTCATCGTCGGTTACTTCCCGCCCGTCCCCCACAGCAGCAATGCGAAGTTCACCGAGCAGACATGCCTCCGATTATGGAAATGGATCCTTTCAGAGTTCCAATCATGTCCAGCACGAGCTACACCACTCACTATTCTTCGGCGACCTCAATCAAGGATTTGGACGACGGCACCGAGCCCCACGAATCGAAGACAGCGTCGGCCCGTATCAACCTGCCGCAGAAACTACTGTGGGAGCAGCAATACATGAAGCATTACTGTCTCATTGGCTCACGGCTTACAAGACTTTCTGGAATACCGGCTCTACATTCTACGGCAATTGTGGCGCTCAGAGTAGAACCTACTATTCGATCGGACCGTCGGAAGCATCACCCGTCATCAGTAAGATTGAGCTTTGCTGGAGATCGCATCAACGCATACGAGTATTACCTCACATGAAAAGTCACATTCCGATGATGATGCAGATTCGTATGGCATGCCACTCTTCTAGCTCAACCGGCCACGCATCTAGATGAGACTGGGCCTATATTGCAGCAGGGTTGCAGACTGGCTATAAACGGCATGAATTCTTACACGATCGTCATGAACTCATTGAAGCGAACCGACATAAACTACGAGTTATTCAATATGATAAACGACCCGATCGCCATGCTGCATACGTATCTTGTCTTCTCCGACGCGCGGCTATCCCACATTATTCCAGACATCGAGGCCGACCCGAATGGCTACGATAAGCACAGAAGCAGCGCCTCGACATCCTAAAGGAACGCGCACGGCTCCGAGAACGCGGCATGGCAGTTATTACTCAAAGACAATTCTCGGAAGCTACGCGAACATGCTCAGTGGAAACAGGCCTGGTGGAACCAATCTCTTGACGAGCAGGTCACCGAGGCCTTCTACAATCGTGACCTTTCTCGAGTGGCAGAGCTCAGTCGACTTCGTGCAGGCGCCCGCGCTGGCCCGAAGAAACGCACCTTCTTCACCTTCCCCAGTGTACGACCGACGGCTGCTCACTACACCGACGCTCTGGGCAAAGCTGGCATCGACGGCGGCCTCACAGCGGTCCCTGCAGACATCAGCATCTACATTGAGAACGAAAATGCCATTGAGAATTTCCACAATCGCGACGAGAATTATATACAGCCTGTCGGCGAGCACCGCGTGAACCCCACTAAAGAGTCTCTTCTCGACGCAGCTGAGGATGTAGAGGCTATGGGCAAGCGTATATGGCAGACAAAGCACAGAAACGATTCGCCCATCTGGTCATGGCCAATTGCACTCACGAGTATGCTCGTCTTCTCCAAGTACCTCAGCCGACCAGGTCTCCCTCGCAACGGCGTCGGATACGCACCGACGGACGATCAATATACAGTACA